CTAAACCCTAAACCCTAGACCCAGGTCGAGAAGCTTTGTCCCGACAGCTTGACCCTGCGGCCTGCGCGGAAGCGCTTGCAAGAGTTCCAGGCTCTCGCCTTTTTTTTTTAAAAAAAAATTTAAGCGCCTTAAAAGGATCCCAATAAGGGTTTCTATAGGGTTTCTATAGGGTTTCTACAAGGGTGCTGTCAGGGTTCTTTATGGGCAGTTCTCTAAATTAGGGTTTGTCTTGGGTTCCTTTTTATAGGGATGCCGTACTAGATTGGGGACCTAAAAGCATATGTTTTTTGCGAGTCTAGGGTTTAGAGTTTATTGTTCTTTGGTGGAGAGTTGAGCGTCTGGTGTTAGTGGTTTCAGGTTGGGCTTCTGATTGGGGATTGTGTGCTTCGGTGTGGTGTTTGGGGTTGAGTTTTTTGAGTTTAGCCTTTAGTGTGTAGGTTTAGGTTTAGGGGTCTAAAGCATAGGTTTAGGGTTGCGGGTTTAGTTTCGAATGTGGGTTTGGGATTTGGGGTTTGTGGTTTTTGGTGTGGGGTCTATAGTTGGGTGGGGTTCCTGGTTGAGAAGTTTACGTCTTGGGCTTTGGGGGCACCCTGACGAAGCTTGGGCTCAACTCAAAACTGAGGGTTGAGGGTTGGGGTGGTGATGTTGTGGGTAGTCATCTCGATGTTTCGACCTCCTCTTGCCTCTTGCCGTTTTGCTCTTGCACTCTCATTGCTCTTCTCTCTTTCCTTTTAAAGGTCCGGCACCGTCTTAGTTGCAGCTGAGCCACACGTCCGAATTCCCGGCCGCTTCTGCCTGAGCCCTAAGCCTTGTTGTCCTGATATCGGCCCGAACCTCTGCAGCCTTTCGGCCAACGGATCCAGCCCAAACAGAGGTAACAGCAAGATGCGTCCCCCCAAAACCCAAGCCCAAAGCGAGGCCCAATTGCCCAAGGCGTCACCTTCGTTGCCACACCCAATGCCGCGCTTGGAACTGCAGACCAAGTCCCGACATCCTAGACATTCGTGAAACTTTTGCTAAGCCCTCGACTGTTAAGCAAAACCAGAAACTCCCCCCAACCCTAAACCCTAAACCCGTAACCCTAAACCCGAAACCCTAAACCCGAAACCCTTAACTAAACCCTAACCCTAAACTCTAACCTAAACCGTAAACCCCAAACTAAACCCCAAGCCCTAAACCCGAAACCACAGACCCCGAGTTTATGGTACAGGGCCTTCTTTCTGCTTGGCAGGAGGAAATCAAGCGAAGGGTGGCGAAGGCGGTTCGAACCAAGGTGGGATGGGGTGGCATCAGGCGTTCAGGGCTCGGAAATTGGGGCATTAATATTCCTAAGCCCTAAAGCCTAAAGCCTAAACCCTAAACCTACTATAATATGCCTTACAATCACGTTTTACTTAAGTGCATCTAGATTTAGGATTTGTGGGGATGCTGTCCTCCTTCGGCCTGGAAGAAAGTTTAGGCTCCTTTTTGGTTGCTTCATGGGTTTAGGGTTGAGGGTTTCGGGTTGGGAGGTTGGGAGACTGTTTCGTTCAATCACCCCAACAAGCGACGCGAAAGCAGGACAGGGCGGACGGGTGGCCCAGGTGCTTCATGTGTGCTCTGAGCTGGTGGGTCCTCGCGGATGTCAAGGTTGAGGGTGCCCTTCTGATGGCGTCACACTTCTCAGAAGCTACTTTGGAGCTCCCTTCATCCCAGAAATCCAGGTTTGGGATTGAGGATGATTGCAGTAGCTTTGGGACGCTGCGTCGTAATTGAAGAGGGATGGTGCGCGGGACACGTGCTCAAGCAGCACGTGCAAGACAATGACAATTGACAAGACCAAGACTTCAGTCCGGGGTGCTGAATCGCTTAGCCCCGAGTCCTGAGGGTCACCATGCGGCAATGTAGCAGCGAGAACCTGCCGAGAGCTCGTCGTACAGACTTTGCAGGCAAAATCACAAAGCTCAAGCTTGGCCTACACACCCTAAACCCGAAAGCCTGGCTCCTGAACGTCCGAAACCCACGTACCGTTACGAATAGCACCACGCCGTAGTATGAGTAGCTATGATAACTTGAAGTTCATGGCTAACTATAACTACGCTGCGAAAGTCACAGCTTACAATTCCAACCATGAACCTTCGAACCGAAAACGTCTTACTTATACTGCATAAAGTAGCACGTGAGACCGTATAAAATCTGCCGCATAACCTGACCTAGACATTCTGACTATAACTATAGATTACACTCGTAATCGCTTGAGATACTAGCTTACAAGCACAACTACAACCATGCTCCTTACGTAGTGTTATCACGGATCACTTGTCACTCGAACTACATACATCATACATCCAATTCTCCGCAGCTTCCTTCTCATATACTCGAATATATTCTACAGTATCCTACAATTTACAGAATATACTCTACCGTACTATAGTATCCTTTACGTAACAACATATACTCTGCCACACTGTAGTATCCTTCACTTTACAACAGATGCTCTCCTGTGCTTTTGCTTCCTATACTTTACTATGCTGCACTACAGACAGCCAGGGCTTCCCGACCGGCCTCTCGCGCGTCTCCGGAGACTGGTACTCGGCGAGCACCTTGACTGGGCGGGGAGAGCTCCCAGGTCAATAGGGTTCTTCTAGTGTGCGTTGTGTGTGTGTGTGTGTGTATAAATATATATATATATATATATATATATATGTCTATCTATGTCTTTATGTATATCGATATCTATATCTATCTCTAGATCTGTCTATCTTTCTATCTATCTATAAATACATATATATATATATATATACATATAAGTATATGAGGCCAGAGCCGATACTGGAGTCCATGCATGCACGGCAGATGCGGACGCGAGGGCGAACGAACTTGCTTACGCTTAGCAGTAGTGACAGAAGGCAAACACAAAAACAGACGAACAAGCAACCAAACACGCAGACAGACAGGACAAGATAGTCGCAGGCAGGCACATGCACACACAGGCAGGCAGCCAGACACAGACAAGGCAGCCGAAGAAGCAGCAATTGGAGGCGTTCCCAAAGCCAATCGAAAGTTGACGGAGCGATCTGCACGCAAGAAGAAGATACAGTAACAATATACTACAAAAGCATAGAGGTAAATACAGTAATTAATGATCTACTACAAGACAATAGAAGTAGATACACTAATGGTTCCAAGCCCTAGCTGTCGGCCTCCCACACCGTGGAGGCAGCCTGCCCTCCGGCGTCGACACCTCTCAGTGCTCATTCGGGGCCCCAGGAGCTAACTGCATAAAAGGTGTTTTAGGGACGGCTTTAAGGGGCTTTCGGATCTTCTGCAGGTTTGGGGTTCAGGGCTGACAGGTTCAGGGTTGACGCTTTAAGGGCTTTACAGCTTTGGCAGCTTGGGGTCCTTTGTCAGTGGGGTGACAGGGCCGAAGCTGCAGCTTCCCGTGTGCTCAAACCAGGCAGGTTCCAGTTCCAACAACAAGAAGCTAAGCACATGAGACCCGCATGACCTCCCAGCATGCATGCGCCAAAATGTATGCATGGGACTCCATGCTACATGGGTATGCAGATGCATGGTTCTAGCCGATTCTAGCCCCGCGTGCACGCACGTCCCTGGTGCTGTTCCCGTCAATCCGTCAACCTGAAACCCAAACACCAAACATAGCCGGGAACCAGATGTAAAAACAGGTCTTGCGAAGACCCTTTGTCCATCCGCACCGTTCGGCGCTGGGGCGTTGAGAGTCGAGTTCAGGGCTTGAGGATTAGTTAAAGGAGACCACAGGTGGGGAGTTTAGGGCATATAGGGCTTCTATAAGGCTTCTATAAGGTATATCCTAGAATTAGGGTCCCCTGGAACCGAGGTCCTGGCTAACCTTGCCCGTCTCCAGGTAGGTGCTCCTGCGGGCATGGGGGCACGCACATCCACTGTAACACGACGCTGCTCCCTGACCTGGAGCTTGGGATCTAGGGCTTGGGGTTTAGGGATGATATTGTAGAGTATACTATCATATGCCTCAGTATATATATATATATACCACGGTATACTCTAAATTATTACAATACTCTATAATATACTATAAAAATATACCATAAGAATAAAGTGTAATATATTATAATATACTACAGTAAAATAAACGATAACATATTATACTATACGCTATGAGATACTACAGAGATAACACTAGTGCTTTCAGGTCTAGTTCCGTTGGGCGATGCAAAGCCTTGGCCAGGGCTGTTGCGAACTCGTTGCCCTGAACTGAATCCAACCACCTCCCACCTTGAGCACTTATAGTATATGATTGTGAGTTATCGCGTATTCTAGTGTACCGCAGCAAATTATAACAGTATAGTTCACTACATCATACGACCCTACATTATAATATACTACGGTGTCGTATAGCACAGTATAGTATAGCTAGTATAGCTTCTAGATTGAACCTAGCAAACCTCAGCTTGGCCCTGGGCCCCGCACGTGTCGATGGCCAAGTGGCATTCCCCACGCACCCTGCCAGCGGCCCGGAAAGCGAAGCTGTACTAAGGTATAGTACCTTGTACTCTGCCTGTACTATAAACTCTCGATCATATACTGTAATATACCATGATATACTATGACATACTTTGATATGCTAAAAAATAGACTGGGCTATAATTGATATACCATAAAAACACTAGATATCACTACGACTATGCTCGGCGGCTATAAACCACTATAAAAATATACTGTTTTGCTATAATATCCCATACAACACGATCGTATACTTCATATACTGTAATTATGCACTAGACAACATTTAGAAGGAAGGCTCTCGCTGACTGGTGCGGGCGAGAGTGCGGGCTGAACTGCTACCTCTTTGGGGCTATTGGGCTAGGGTCCTTTCACCCAAGGCTCGGAATCTTTCTGATTCTTGCCACTGCGATAGCTAACATTGCCATGAAACCGAGTCACTTATCATATACTCTAACATACTGTAGTATGCTATCACGTGCATGTCCAATGCTAGAGTATACAGTAATATTCTTCGTCGCCATTATCACCACCACCATCATGACCGTCATCAGCATACTGACGTCGAACTGACCATATCTATAATTATCTTCAAGTGCTGTCATCACGATGAATCTGCTCTCTGCATTGTTGGGTGTAGTTCTTCTTGCGGTAAAACCTCTGACTGCCTCTGACTTCTTCGCGCTAGCTATGTGTGTGACTACGACGGCGATGGTGACAGGTCTTACTGTCTTACTGCATTATTCGCGTTGCCGTGCGTCTTCTTGCTTGAGCTACCAGTGTTGCAGGAGTCGGAGGGAAGAAACCCCTGCAGCGTCGCCTGTCCGGCGCGAAGCCGCCGTGAACGAGGATCACATAGTCCTGGGAAGTGTCGGGATATGATGTGTCAACAACCACAACAGCAACAACAACAACATGAACATGAAAGACACTCGTACACTGCCAAGAAGAAGGTCCACCCGCGGGAAGAAGAGGAAGGAGGTGGACAATGCCACCAACAAGAAGAAGAAGAAGGTGTACACGCGCACTGCCAACAACAACAGCAGCAGCAGCGCAAAAAACCATAACACACTGGCAGCAGAACCAGCAGCACCAGGAGCACCAGCAGAACCAGCAGCAGCAGTAGCAGCATAAGCAGCAGACCTGCCATCGTCATCACAAACGCCATCATCACCATCAATCCACAAACCAACAGGCAGAATAGCAGAGAGCGGCTAAAGACGTGAAGAATTGTCCAAAATGCAGAAGTGAGCAGTTCAACGTACTTAGCAGTTGTGTAAGTGCGCGCGACTTGCAATAAACTTGTATTTCAACCAACTTAGCCATCGTCGCCGACCTCATTATTCCCATCAACATCACAAGCTGCCAACGCCACCATCCCCGTGGAAATTGAAATCGCCATCACATATACCGCTTTGTTGTTCGTCAGCAGGCTCGACAGACGATATTCTCATCATCACCCTCAGCATCGCCTTGCCTACCACTACCACTGTCACTGCTATAGTCGCAACTTCTAACATCACCACTGCCAACATCTCCATCAAATTCAGCATTAAGACTATCATCAGCACCACCACCACCATCATCATTACCCGGTTACCATCATTCATCAGCAGCAGCAGCAGCAGCAGCAGCAGCAGCATAACGATCGCGAGTATGGCGACCATCGTAATAGTTCGGCATCCTCCTGATCATGTCGAAGCCAGAAAGACAACCCCCGCTACCGTCCCGCCCTTCCCTACCCCACTTTATTTGGAGCCGTGCATGCTTATTCTGAAGAACACCCTGCAATCAAAAAACAACAACAAGACTTCAAAGATCTTCATGCGAGCATCGTGAATGCAAGTGGGGTGCTCCCCCAATCCCCAACGCTTGGCTGACTTGAACGGCAAAAAGCACTTTATCCCACCCCCAACTTTCGTCCTTGAGCACCCCGAGAAGGATCTGGTTCCGCGCATGCTCGTAGCCCTGTGATGTCCGGGGTTGCGGGTGGGCAGTGGGGTTAGGATGATTTCTGTAAGGCATACACGCTAATAGGGTCTAGGAGTGCAGGTTTTCGGGCATTGCATTTGGGTGTACGTCTAAAGTTCATCCCTTGCGGCATGTGGTTTCGAATTCTCCCGGTACTTTGCACGGCTTGCTCCTCACAAGCATGATGCAGTGGAAAATCCCTCCAACCTTGGCCGTAAATTTCAACTTGAAACCCAAAGCCCCGAACCCCGACAATGGATACCCAGGCTCCGAGACTAAAAACCCCCTCAAACCAGAAAACGGAGCAGACCCTGCTGAGTCCTGCAGGCCTCCCACCGGAAACCTCCACGTGACTCTGATCGAGTAACCCCTTGATGTTGAAAGCGGTGAGTGCTGGAAGGCGGCATGTCATGATGTCTCATGCCATTCTGTGGGGCCACAGATCTAGTAATCACAAGGTATGCTATCAATACTATCGAACTGAATCCCATGCGTAGAATCCACGAAGCCAAGCGAGGTCGTGGCGCCAACGTCTCGAAGAAACGAAATTCATTTTTGGAGTGAGGCTGCTCGCCATCCCACATCCAGAAGAGCACATCACCAGAAATCTCACATGTACCCTGAACCCTCAAGCCTAAACCCTGAACCCTAAAGCCTAAGCCCTGAACCCTCAAGCCTAAGCCCTGAACCCTAAAGCCTAAGCCCTGAACCCTAAACCCTAAACCTTGAACCCTAAACCCTAAACCTTGAACCCTGAACCCTGAACCCTGAACCCCTGCCTTGTGGGTCTTGCCAACCAACATCGGACCGGAAGTCTCCACCTCAGTGATCTTTGGGCAGAGCAGGTGGGGGAAGTGGGTAGGGTTTAGGGTTTAGGGTTTGGGTTTAGGGTTTAGGGTTCAGGGTTTAGGGTTTAGGGTCCTTCCCAAGCCCCTGAACCCTACCTCGACATGTGAACCCCTCAACTTCCCGACATCTCTGAGCCAAACCCCTGAACACGCTACCCGAAAACGACTTCTGCCCGGCGGCGTCCAGCCGGTGAACGAGGCCCCGGTCCAGGGTCCTCAGTGCAGAATATAACATAATATAATATAACATAATATAATATAATATAATATAATATAATATAATATGATTGGGAGCCGACGGTGTTCAGGGTTTAGGGCTTAGGGGGCTTATGGATTAGGGACTGGGGGACTTAATGGGTCTAGGGCTTGTAAAACTTGTGTTTAGTAAGGCTGTACAGCTTAAGGCTTTGGTTTTGGGATTCTAACAGCTTTTGAAATATTTGGGGCTTGGGCTTCCCTACATGATGCCGATTAGATTCGATGGGAACCCTGGGAGTGCTCCAGGCTATAACTGTGGCAGCCTACAAACCCAGTATGATGCCCGTTGCCGTCACCCTAGCCTGACTAAAGCTCCAGCTGCTGAAATTTGCCAGCGTTAGATTCCCAGGCCCAAACCCACAAGAAGGACCATACAGCGAGCACCTCACGAGCACCCCAACCGCACACACCCTCGTGCACTCTCGCGTGCACCCGCGCACCTGGGTCCAGGACCACAAGGACGACCACAAAAACACCACCAGGAGACCGCATAAGACCACCAACCAAATCTAGGGGACATCTGACTGCAGCCGCAATTGGAGGAACCTTCCTCATTACTCCCATGTACTGGCCGGAGTCAGCACGGCGGTACCTCCGCCTCGTGCGAATACTGCCCAAATTCTCGGTAGAGCCCCGAGTCTGTACCACTCTGTTTGGGGAATAAACCCAACCATCTTGGCTTCCCATGATACGAAGCTTCGGTAAGTTTCCGAGTGTAGATGTCATTGTTGGTGTGCGCGCGGCTCAGGCTTCTTGAATGAGGCGACTGTCTGGATTGCAGGCACTTAGGATCTTGGCAGAGTTAGTTAGGCCTTGGACCCTTCCATACGAAGCTTACGTGTTCTCAATACTTCCATACCCAATGTCGTACTACCTCAAGTTAATGCCTTTCACTCACCTCCGCCCTGCAACTTACGAAACCCGATCTGGAGCTCTGATCCCATCCCCAACCAGGTCCCAGTCACCCCAAACCCTTGGCCTGCAAAGCCCATCTCCCGCATCTGGGAAAGGCACTGGTCCCTGCAGACATCACAAGCCGGATCATGTCCGAACCTGGGAAGTGCAGAAAAAATCGAGCTTGTCAGGGGACATGAACAAGTGCTCACAGTTCAGGCCGTGCTGGACAACGCAGATGAGGCAACTGACTGTCCTTGTGCAGTCATCTTTCCTACTGTGCTGTGTCGACAGCTGCTTGTCAACACTTGCCTGGGCAGCAGACAAGCTCTTCACTCTAGTCGTTGCGAACCTCTACGTAAGTTGTGTCCACAAGGCACCCAGCTGGACTTGACACTTCTGGCCCTGAACAGGGGCACTTCCCACAAGTCAGGGCCTCATACTGCATTCCGCCACCACAGTAGCAGGTATAAGCCACGGTTGCAGCCTTCGATTCTAAGCAACGGTAACACTGCTGTGTTGGTTTTGTCGTCTCTGACAGCATCGTACATGCGGAACCGCCCCGCCCCAAGGCGCCGGCTGCAGCAGCAGCCAGCCTTGCAAAGGCGCCGCCGACTCCTTCGCTGCAATGGCGGCATCTCCGAAGAGCCATTCAAACCGGCTCCGGGCCATGGCCGCACTCAAATCATAGGAAGCATCATCAGAATCACCGTCCTCATCACCAGTATCAACGCCAGCATCATCAAATCACCATCATCATCAACATCATATCGGTGATTGCTTTGTGTCGACCCTGGTCGTCGTCACTGTCGGCGTCCTCGTCCCCGTGGTTATAGCATCAGCACCACCACCTCCACCAGCACCTCTACAACCACCACCACCACCACCACAGCAGCAGCAAAGGCAGCCCTTACCTCGAATCAGACCGTGTTCGAGTTGAGGGCCTTGCGTGCGTCTAAAATTGTTTCTGAGACCTTAAACGGATCGACCTCAGCACGGGTCGCAAGCGTCGGCTCCAACGAACGGGAGCTCCCGTCCTGAGCCCAAACACTAAAACCCCGAAACGATGCCTGCGCCAGCAGCTTCGCGGCGCGCGCCCGCCGAGCCGCCGGCGCCAGCCAGACCCAGGAGGGGTCAACTCCCTGCAAGGCAAAATGTAAAATGATATCAGAGTATATAAAGGAATATATTAACATATCGGGGAGGGTTCTTGAAGATAAATGCGCACGACTCTCTCGAGCCTCTCGGGGCTCGCCTTGAGAAAAAGTGAAAGTTTGGGGTTGGAGGCTGTGATGTCTGCGGATATGTCCGGCTGTACTGTCCCTCAAAATGGTCTGCATCACCTACTTTCGCTCCGAGTGACCAAGCTCCGTCAGTGACCAACAGCATCCCACGACGCCACCAACTGTCCAAACAGGATGATTCAAGATCCACAACCAGGACCACAAGACCCTGTGCACCGCGCGGAAGGCCTCCGGTTGAGGCGTGCAGGACCAGCCAGATGGCTTCAACACCACTGCCATGTCCTCGTCCTGAGCTCGGAAAGACGCTGGAAAGGCCAGAGGCCAACTTCATCTTTCGCATCTTTCAGCCCCGAAATTCCGAAGTCCAAACCCCCCAGAGCCGCGAGCACCCCTAAACTCGAAGATCGGAGAGCCCCAGACCGTAACCGGCCTCGTACAGCAGCTGTGGCTCCTCCCTGCGCCCCGAAGCGCCAGCATTGGATGCCTCCGAATAGCTTCGAAGCACATGCGCTTTAGGGTCTCAGATTGTGGCTTGGGATTTTGGGTTTTGGGTCCTTGGCACTAAAGGGCCCATTGAATTCGAAAGCTCAGGGAGGCAGATCGCCCATCGTCTTCTTCACCACTGTCGCATTATCGTAGCTGCATCAATACTTCTCATCCTCTCTCATCCTCAGCAACATGAGGAGTTGCGCCGTCAGCGCAATAGTCGACACCATAATCCGTCGAAAGATTCATGGTGCTAAGCTGAGGCACGAGAGCCTGTCGAGGAAAGTAAGCACAACTGCCGAATATTACTCAAGTCTATCAACTGATTCCTGGAACTGGCCCGGGTATGAACCCGAAACACAAAAACGAGAGCCCCCAATTGGTGGCCTACATGCAGTACAGTGCAATCGACGGTCCGGCCACGAGCCCACCGTCCCCGTCACAAGCAGAAAACCTGGGCCAACCCAAAAGAGCAGCAACTGAAAGCATCAACGAATGAACAAAAAGTCCCTATGATGCGTCTCCAGGCCTTCATTTCGGGAAGCCCCTGTGTGCTGAAGAAGGACCGGGCATGGATGGCCTTGTGAAGTTGCTTCTGCTTCGGGCTCCTTTTCTTTGGGGCTTCAGGATATCGGCGATTAAAGGTGATCGAGCGTACGACCCAAAACCCCGAAGGTAACATTACTCGGTTGAGGGTTTGAGGGTTGAGGGTCCTTGTTTTCGGCTCTATCGCCGATCGTCAGAGCTTCGGTTTAGGAGTCTTCTTGAGTGTTTAGGACAGCGTAGGGCTCAGGGCCTAGTATGTCTTTAGTTCGTTTGTTGTTGCATTCGGGTGCGCCGTCGGCTGAACTGCCATGAGCGCTCATCACTCCGATCAGGTCTTCCAAGGATTTCTTACGGTTCCGGCATTGGCTTTGGAGCTCCAACATAGCATAGAAATAATAAGGAACCCTCAGGAATGTTGGTAAGTATATTATGGGCTTCTATATTAGCTGGATGTGCTTTGCATCCTTGCGTCGGGGACCTTCTCTGCTCTACCTGATTTTGTTTGCTTTCGGGCTTTCGGGCTGCTCCTCGAGACTCAGGCATTCTGTGGGGCTTGGGCCTCATGAAAGCCGCAAACCCCTGAACCCTCCAATTCCGGGACGCTGGCAGGTGACGGCAAAGCCGCCTCGCCCTGCAGATTGCAGCTTTCCGAAATCAGGGCTTGGATTTCAGCTTCCAAATCTCCGAGCTTATTTGAGGGTCTTCCGATGTAGGGTCTATACAGTGTTGTTCTGATCCCTTAATTTCGGAGACTTTCGAACTTGTGCGACCCGTGCAAAAACGATTGTCAGCTGTGCCACCACCGGTTTAAACTCCCGAAACCCCCATGCACAGGCCTGAATGAGGGGGTTCTCTGCTGAGATCTGAGACAGGATGTCAAGGTGTATCGTTCAAATTTGTGCGGCTCATGCTCCATCGTGTTCGTAGTTGTGCCTTCCAATACCCGCAGCCCCGAACAGTGGGCATGGTCGGAATTCTGCCCGGACGCATCCGTGGTGGGCAAGTGCTGCGCAGAACGAAGCAAGACGGCACCGAGTCGCCGCCAAAGCACCAGGGCCAAGATGTTGCAACCCCCAAAACGGAAGAAGAAGAAGAAGACGAATGACAATAACAAGAAGAGGAAACAGAAGAAGAAGAAGAAGACTATAGTAACTATAGTAGCTATACCTGTAACAACAGTAGTAACAATAACAGATATGTAATCAGAATCAGCCCCTTTCAGCAAGCCTTCCAGGCGGTCGCGGAAAGGTGAGCCACGCAGTTGTGCTTCAGCTGATCGGAGCAGGCGGCCTTCCCACCGCATCCAACTTGGGGTTTAGTTTAGGGTTAGTTTAGGCCCTGGCTAAGCTTAGGATCCTTGTCTTTTGGGGGCTCGGGGCTTGAGGTACAAGGGCTTACAGTAAGGCTTAGGGGAAGTTTTCTGTGACTCCGCTTCTCTCGGCTCTAGACTGGTGCAGCTCCGACAAAGGCCCTTATGCGACCAGGACAGGACACCATGCAGCTCACGGCATCGCGAAAGGCCCAATGTTGTCCTAAAACCCCAAAACTCGACGAATCGGGGCTCCGGCGTTGACGCATTTTCGGGGCCCGCAGCTCTCTTCGTCGGTCCTCAAAGGGTCGTGCCGGGAGTAGACTAGGCTTCCAGGGTTCGCATTTAAGGCTGACAGGGTTGAAAGGTACAGGGCTTCCATGCAAAGGCTTCGTCCCCCCAGGCTTTTTTTCCTAGGCCCCACGACCTCACCGCCTTGACCCGAAGTCAACCTCTTACACATCCGGGAACACTGGTCCTCTCGCCGAGGCAAACAGCGAAGCAGAGGCCTCGCTTCGAAGGAGCTGAGCTCTTCTTTGGAACAACCCTTTTCCATCTTGCGCAAAAAGACAAGATCCGGTGCTGCGTTCAGGGCTTAGGGTTTAGAGTTTAGGGGTATGTTCTTGCCTGCCTGCCTGTTGCTGCTGAGGGTACCTTCCTGTACTGCTACACTACATAACCCCTCCTACTGCTACTGGACGTAACCACCAGGCCCCGATCCCATGAATCTCAAGACGAGAGCGAAAGCCGGCCCGAATAAACCCCGAATGTGCGCCTTTCCTCTTGCGCCGTTCAAGGTTTCCTAAACCCCACAACAACCCCCAAATCAC